TAAATATGAAACAAACCATTGGCCGTAACAGTTGCAAAACATTCATCGCCGCTACACTACGAGTGCCACCTTGCTTGGTTTCTAGTTTTTCAAAACACTTTTCAGAAAATTCTACTTTATTATTTTTTGTATTTTTTTGTTTTTTCTGAATTTTTTTAATATTTTAAGCAATTTTTTTTTTTTTACTTTTTAGACACACCTAACATAAATACACCTAAAAAGTAAAAAAATTGTAAAAAAAATCTCTTAAAAATTCACTAAATACCAAAAATACAAAAAAAAAATACAAGAATTCAGTACATTTTTTGTATTTTTATGTATTTATTAATTTTTTAAAATATTTTTTCACAAATTTTTTACTTTTTAAATACATCTAAGTAAGGTGCATCTAAAAAAATATAAAAATGTTTAAAATTTAAAAAATATTCACTAAAAACAAAAAAATACAAAAACCAAAAAAGTCAATTTTCAAAATTTTCAACAATCCATAGTGATTGTTGCTCTTCTCTTCCATTTTAGCAACATGATGGAGATGTTCTTTTTCCCAACAATTTTTATGAGGACATTATTGATGTTTCCCCTGCATTTTCCAAGGCTAATGAACTATGATAAATAATAGAGTATTGCTATTAACGCCTACCTTTCTTCTTAAAACCCTTACCTCATTTATTTATTTTTAATTCCAATTTTGTCCCAATTTAAAATTTCACTTTTACCCTCATTCTTAATCTTCTAAACCTAATTTTCCAAACTCTAGCCTAATCCTAATCACCTCCGGCAATACCGCCATCTCCGACCACCTCTCACCGCCACAACTACCACCATCTCTAACCACCCTTCATCACTGCAACCTCTACCATCTCTGACCACTCCACACTATCACAACTACGACTCCATCCGTCGCAAACAGCCATTACCTCTACCGACAAGCACTCCCATTCCCTATCGCAGATCTGAATTAGAGAAGAGAGATCAACCCATTCAGCACTGTGTTATCGAACTAAAATGATTGTTCAATACTGTGTTTCTGAACATTCAGGATTCGTTCAACACTGTGTTGCCGAACATTTAGGATTTATTCAGCACTGTATTGCCAAACCCACTCTGCCATCGTGATCTCCTTATCCATTGCAAGAGAGAACGAGCGAGAGAGAGAGAGAGAGAGAGAGATGAAAACATAAGGTTTTCAAAAGAAGATGAAGAAAAGACAGAAGGAGGAGAAAGAATGCAAGAAATCACTCACTATAGCCTATGATAGAGGTTTTAATGGTGGCCATTGTTGATGGGTCTTTTCTTTTGCTTTGTTTCTCATCTATATTTGATTTGAATACAAGAAAACAAAGAGAGAACTTAGATTAGAGAGAGAAGTGGAAGGGGGTTAGGATTTGGGTTTGGTTTTGGAGTTAGGGGTATAGTTGGTATTAAGGTGGATGTTCAAAGAGAAAATGAAGAGATTTCATTTTCCTAGGAGAGGGTTCAAAGAAGTAGGTAGGCCAAAGTAATTAGGTGGGAGCAAATAGCAGCCTTCTTCATTATATTCATAAAGATAAATTCTCACAAAATAACCAAAATATCCCAAACACCGCCTCTACTCTTTTATTTCTCTCACGGTTCGGTTCAATCCTCAGTCTCTTTCATTGCTAAAAAAAAACAAATATATATATATATATATATATCTCTTTCCTACGATTTATCTGTTGCATCCTCGCCGGTGATCTGTTCGTCACATCCTCTCTCTCTCTCTCATCATTAACCATCAGGTCAGGGGTGGCGCAACCGTGATTGGACTCTGTTCGGGTTTTAGATTTATGACGGTGACTTTCAACCATTCTAATCCTAGATCTATGTTGAAAACCGTTGATTCAGACAGTTTCGCAACAAAGAAGAAGATCGAGAGTAGTAACCCTAACATGAAGAAGATCGAAAAGATTTTTTCTAGATCATGGAGGTTTGGGGCGACTCTGACAAGTAGGTCCTCAGTCGCACGATCCTCACCGTAGACATGTTCAACGCTGATGCCAACAGTGGACTTGGAATCAATATCCAGCACTAACACTGTTGATTAAACTTTTTGTTACAGTGTTTCAGTTGAACGGTATATCTAATGCTTTAGTTTTTATGTGTCTTGGGGAGTGTTTGGGAACGGGAAAAGTATATTTTTCGAGCCTTTCTTGTCATCTTATCACCCCACGACTTCTATTCCTTAGAGATCTACGCTCTCTCTTTTTGCTATAGTTCTATTTTAAGATCAAGCATTTTTTTTTCTTTCTATCTTCAAAACTTTTTAATTAGTTGTTATTGTTGTTGTTTATGATGATGAAACTGATTGTGTTGAACATATAAGGATGGGCTTGCTGAAGAGGTTGATATCTCTGGTTTGAAGATTTGAATGAAGATCTTGAAATGTGAGTTTGTGAAGCTCTCCAAAAGAGAGACACACACCGATGAGAGAGAGAGAGAGAGAAAGAAAGGAAACCATTAATCTTTGAGATTTTTAGATTTCTTTTTCTATCTTTTGTTATTTATTTATTTATTTTTTTTCTCTATTTGTTGTTGTTGTTGATGATGAAGAACAAATAAGGTTTAGTTTGGCTTGGTATTGCAACAAATAAGGTTAGTTAGGTTCAACAAATAGGGTTTGGTTTGGCTTGTATTTCAACAGATAGAAAATATATATATATAATAAATAAATAAATAAATAGATATAGTTTTGACAAATAGATTATAGGGAAAAAAAATTGAACAGATAATAAAATTTGAATAGTAAAGCTATCATATTAACAAAGATAGGTCAACCAAGCAAGAGCGCATAATGAGAAAAAAGTATGGTGGCTTTCCAACAGTAAAGTAGTAAAGTAAGATAATGGGCTTGTTCCCAACTATTCAATCTAAGCTGATGAGTCGGCGGGGAAGCCCTTTCTAGTAGACCTTTCATACCCACACAGCAGAATGGGACCCTTTCTTAAAGGAGTTCTTGTTGCTTTAAAAGAGATCTGGTGAAGAGCATTAGTGAGGTACTAAACACTTCAAAGATTTCCACTAAAACACAAAATAAGCTATAAAATTAATAAGATGAAATTTTACATCTAAATTATAATCATTTTATTTTTTCTCTCACAAAACTATAAAAAAAGTTAAAAGTTTATTCTAAACGGAACTTTTTTAGTCATGTTAAAATAATCAAAAAAATTAAAAAATTAGGCTAACAAAGTTCTTCCCAAACGAAGGCTTAATCAATTTGCCAATATTTATCATCTAAAAGCATCTACATCAGTCTTAACAAATTTTGTGTCAAATTATAACTAAAAAGTAAGGGTGCTCGCAGATCGATTTTTGACGGTTTGGTTTGCAGTTTAGACCTGCTCATGTCTGCGGTTTGGGAAAAAATGAACGCACAGCTGTCCGCAGTACGATTTGTGTGGATAGGGCTAGCGGATGTGCGGGCAGTCGCGATGGTTTGCGAATTGGATTTTTTCCTTGAAAAATTTATTGCTGGGCCTAATTTTCCCCATTTTCTAAATATTATTTTAGACATTAAAATCACATATTTTTTATCATGAAATCATTCTTTTCTAATGAGAAGGAGATCCTTAAAAAGCTTCAAATACCAATAATTACTTTAGAACATCAATTTTAATGAATAAGTTGCACTTTTAGATTAAAAAAAAAAGAATCCAATAATAAATTGCATTTTCAGACTTCTACTTGACTAAATTGTCAACTAGTATGCAGGAATTTGAGAAGTGATGAATAAAATAAATTAAAATTAAAATTTGTAATAGTAAAATTAATAAAATTAATAAACAATAATTCAAGTGTAGCTTGAATAAAATTATTATTTAGTAAAATTAATAAACAATATTTCCAGATATAATGAAAAATTTAGTAAAATTTTGTTCATATCTTGAATAAAATTTCAAAAAAATATATATATATATATATTTAGTGCGGGAAGGTGCAAGTGAAACCCGTAACTAGCAACAAAGGAATAATCTAAAGCACATCCAACCCTACTCCACACTTGAAACCGCTTATTTGTATGTGGTTTGGAGTCGAATAATCCCATGTCCACCCCTATTAAAAGCTACTTTTCCTTTTTAACTAGTCTTTTTTGTATGTACACACTACATCAGACTCTTTATTTTAAAATTAAATTTTATAAAATATTCATTTTGTATTGTTAAAAAGAAGCCAAAGTAGTACACGAGAAGTTAATTTTATATTATTATATATATGCAGTTTCATATTAAAAAAAATTGTGCCTAGTAGCGGTTATCCGACCAAATATCCAAAGTGTATAGGATATATCTATGAAGTTTCAAATTCCTAAAATAAAAAATAAAAAAATTGTGCAATAATCGATCATCCGGCAAGATGTGCAGCCGAATGACCGACAGGATATCTGGTCACTTTTAAAAATAAATGACAACATATTATATAACCTGTGAGTAGCGTATTACTATATATAACGATGTACTATAGTAAAATTAACCAAAAATTAGTTTAAAATAATTTATTGGGACTCATGGGATAAGAATTTTATAATTTTATTAATTATATTTAATCTAAATTCACATTTATTGAGATTGATGTGAATCCTCTGAGCCACTCAACTCAATTCATCTTGCTCATTTTCTCAAACAATGCCAGTAGATTTGGATTGGACAACCGAATCTAGTGGAACCTCGGATCAACCCGAATCCGATTCGTGGCGTTGGTTTGGGGCTCCGATCCGAACGTAGGGTCTGGTTTGGTGCCTCTGAAACCCAAACTTCGGTTCCGAGGAGAGAGGGAGAGGGAGAGGGAAAACAAAAACACAGGACTCCCCAGCTGCTTCTACAACTCATGGCTTTTCTTTTCCAGAAATTTCAAGAGGTACTCTCTCTCTCTCTCTCTCTCTCTCTCTCTCTCTATATATATATATATATGTATGTATGCTTTACAAATTTGTTATTAATTTTATTTGATTATTGGTATATATCTATGATTCTTTCTGGACAATGCTTGCAGTTGATTGAAATTGCTTCCAATTCATTTCTCTCTCTCTTTTTGTTTGGTTGAACTACTCATTTTACATTCAAAACTAGTTTAATTGGCATACGCACACAAAACTATGAATATCCAAATTAAGGGTTTATTATTATATTTGTTCGTAATGTAAAATCTGATATTTACCTACCTCCAATATGTTTACGACAAGGATTGGACTTTGGGCCTGGAAAATGAATGAATGTACTTACAAATTTACTTCTTTTATTTTCATACACAAATATTTTTGCAGAGCCTTTTAAGCTAATTTCTCAATTTTTTTTTTTTTTTTGGATCCGAGTACAATAGAAAGAGTAACTATGTTATTAAGCTGAATTTCATGGTTTTGGTCTCTTTTGGATTGAGGCCTCTTGCTTTTTATATGTGGCTATGGTGGTGTGCATTGAGTGGAAAAGTAAGGTTGGTATTTTTTCTGTTGTAATTTGTTAAAATTTGTTTGGGGTAAGTTGATGAAAATGGTTTTGTTTTGAGGAAAACTAGAAGCAACTATAAGGTGGTTGAACTGCTGTTACTTCAAAATTATGAAACATTAGGATTAACAGTGCCACCCAACTACCTCCAACCCCCTTTCATTATCCATGGTATCCTTCCCCATCCACTGCACCCAACCACCTCCAACCGCTATTCATTATCCATGACTTACAGTGCCATTGCCGACACTTATTGCCACAACACTGCCATCATCCACCAACAAAATCCATGTCAAAACCCCCAACAATGCAATGCCACTATTGTAAGTGAAAATTGTGTTAAACCCATGGCTACCCCAATTCCTATCATTACCAAAGAAATCCCCAAATTGATTGAGGTAGCAGAGGAATTCGAGGACGTGAACATGCTGTATCATGTGAGGGAAAGTGGTGGCCAAGGAAGCACGGGTGCGGGTATAAGTACGGTACGGGTACGAGTGCGGGTACGCCGATTCGGCAAAACTCAAAAAAAGTACGATACGGGTACGGCTGCTGTACGCCGATATTTTTTTATTTTTTTTAAAATATAATTATTATTAAAGGATCCAACCTACAAATTAAAATTAAATATCAAAACTAAAAAAAGAACTACTCATTTTCCTATAATTTAAATCAATTAAGCGTTAAAAATAATATTTGTGAAATCTCTCACTTTGACATGTTATGCACTGTGAATTTGTGATCATAATTTATTTTTAAAATCTTTCTTTTTGCTCATCAATTTGCTATTTTTATAGGGTGAGACCAAATAAATAACAGGAGACCAAAGAAAGATTTAAAGTTAATTACCAAACAGTAAAGGAAAAAAAAATCTCAATTGGGGCAGGTTGTCAATTGCAATTTGCATAAAACATAAAATTGCATCATTCCCAACAACTACTAATCAACTAATACAGTATCAATTTTTAATGTTTTGTGTATAAACTTTAAAAGTTTGTTATGATTAAAGATTTTATAAAGAAATTCTAAGAGGATCTGAAGCAAAAGCATAATGCATAGTCATACACAGAACTATCCTTTATAGACCTTGTTATTTTTTTTTTGTTCAAATTGCTTTTTCAAAACATCAAAATCATTTGCAGATATGATTATACAATTTATACAGACAGACAGGACAACAGAGAAACATCAAAATTACTGATTTGCAAGGGTACCAAAAAAAAAATAAAAAATAATAATAATAATTGCTAATCTGCAAGGGCAGGAAAAAAAAAAAAAAAAAAAAAGAAAAAAAAAGAAAAAGATTGGCCCTGGCATACCCATGGCGTACCCACGCCGTACCCATGGCATACCCGTGGCGTACCCATGCCGTACCCGAATAAACCAAATGTACCGGATCCTCTTTTGCCGTACCCGGTACGCGTACCGGCACCCGGTAAGTACCCGGTACTTGCACGGCACTATTTTTGGAGTACCCGTGCTTCATAGGTGGTGGCCCAGTAATTTAACTTTAAACTTAGCAAATCTTACATCACTTAAGCTAACATCAAAGTTTGTAAGTATTTGTGAGTAAGATCTGCTACAAGGGGTTCCCACTGTCCTCCCCTCCAACCCTTAACTGCTAACTCCCACATTTTCCTGCCACCCCTCATACTTCATTCACCCTCTCCTGCCACCCCCAATCCTCTCCCACTCTCCCCGCCTCCCCTACCCTCTACCTTTACTCATCCATCCTCCCTTGCAATCCCCACCCCCATTCCACTCACAACCACCACTGAATTGCGAATCGAATCCAATCGACTCGTGAATCGTAAAGATTCACTCACTTTTTCTAAATTACTTAAAAACATTCATTTACACATTTAGATGTTAAATATATCTTATGAATACGAAATATTTAGACTTAAATCAATGAAAATGTTATTTTGAATGATAATCACGTAGTTTAATAGGTAAGAACTTAACAAAGGTTCATATGTAAGATCGTCATTTTATTTTTTAGATATTTCTTATCAAAAGATAATAACCAAATAGACAAACTATCAATTTCTAAAGTAACAATAATTAACAACGATGTTGATTTTTGGACAATAAGTATACATATTTTTCTAAGTAACAGTGAGCAAATAATAAGAAAGAATTATTTAGAATCTTTTATTTTAAAACCTAAAACATTTTAGAAGGTATACCTGATCTCACATATGTAATATTCGATTATATTCAATTTAATAAAATAGCAATAAATAATTCATAGTGTTACTTTAATTTTAAACATCTTTAGAAGATGTATTATGTTTTTTTAGGGGAGAAAAAAATGAGAAGAAAGGTTAAAAATATGTTGGGTCTGATTGAATATGATTGGATCCTATTAAAAACTCCATGATCATTATAATAATAACAAATCATGTATATATGTTAGTTATTTTGATATTAAACGCTATTAGTAGTTGTATTATATCATTTTCACTAAAAAGATAGAGAAAAAAAAAAAGTCGAAAATATGTCAGACACAATAATTTCAAAAATTGTATGAATCATAAAAAGTGAATCGAATCGTGAATTGATTATGAATCATGCGATTCAATAGAGATTCACTTCCAAAATAGATTCACCCATAAATTCTTATCAATTTTGCAAAAATTGTGAATCGAATTATGAATCGAATTGCGAATCATAAGATTCTGATAACAAAGCAACCACTACATTCACCATTGTAGCCATCCTCCAAATAACCACAAGTTTTAACACAAAAAATTTGATAAACAAACCATTCTAGAGAGATGCAACCCCTCAATCGTAGCAACCAATACACCTCCACCCAATATCATTGCAGACCATTGTTAGCCATACCCCTCTTTTTCTTCTTTGTTTTCTTCCATCATAGCACATCTCATTATTTTTAGGGTTGGGGGGTTAGGTTTGGGTTATTAAGCTTAAAATTGGTATTTTAGAAGTTTTGGATGATGATGTCATTAAAATTCGTTAGTTGATGGTGGATTAATAGGGGATATTATATTTCATAAACTTGGGTGGTATTTACCCAAAATTTTATAAATTTATGGTAAAAATGAAGATTTTTACTTGCTTTTGAAGAATAAAATTAGTTGGAGAGAAAAATAATGAATAGTATGATTGGTGTAGATGTGTATGATTGGCGTATACATAATGACCACCTGATGGGTTGGGCAATCTAAAGTGAGGGCCACCCGTAATTTTATGCACAAATTGTCACTAGTTAGAATTTGTATAGGAAATGACTAAGAAGTATGGACACAGACAGATGATGCGACATGACACGGATACGACATAGACATGTTGACATGCCAATTTTCAAAAAATATAGGATATGCCATGTGGGGACACGTATGAAATATATAATTTTATATATTTATTATATGTTATTGTTGGCTTTTTTGGCTTTCGAAGGCTAGAAATATAATTAGAACGTGCTAGCAAGGATTAATAAGTCCTTACAAAAATCATAAATGCCAACCAATTAACCAGACGATTGCTTCGAAATTCTTTCTGCCTCAATGAAGAGGACTTTGACTAGTGATTTGTGTAGGAGAAAATATAGAAGAACTAACACAAAAGTACAAGGAGGGAGAAAACAATGTCAAATACATAAATTTTTTCTAGCAATAATAACCTTATCATAAAAAGTAAAAAATTTAAAACTTTACTAAAAGTATTTGTAAAATCAGCTCAAAAAAAAAAATATTTGGATATTATTTGTCATCATTAAATAACAATAAATATTAATATGACAAATTTATATACAATACTTTATTATCATTTCATGTGTCACCGTTTTTCACGGTGAACTCTTTAATGCTTCCTTCACTGCCGACCGTTTGTGCAGGTAAACTCCTTTGCTTCTACCCAAATTCCTTCAATGGGTTTTGCTTAAATAGTGCATGTCAGGTGTTTGATAAATTGACCCTTTGGGTCAACCCTGGACCTGGTACTGTTGTTGGGTTTGTCAGATTCAGTGATTTCTTTCCGTTTACTAAATTTCCAGGTTTTTATTGAAAAAAAAAAAAAAAAGTTAGGATTTGATTTGTTACTGGGTTTTTTTTTTTTTTTTTCTTCTATGTTATTTATAATTATTACTGTTTTCTTTTGATACGATTTGAAGTCTTCTTGTATGATTCGACAATGGAAAGCTCCAATTCATTGTAACAACAATAACCACAGTGCTAGGTCCATAATTTGTTTGTGTTTTATTCAATTATATGCACATATGTGCTTTGTCTTGATGCTGTTCGATAAAATGCCTGAATGATGTTGGCCTTGTCTGTCCATACTTTGCAGATTCTTATCTGTTTTTGTTAAAGCTGTGGTGGTTAATATTTGGAGAAAATGCTACCTCTTAGAAAGCTGGGTTATCACTTTGCTACTTCAGCTTCTTGTTCTGCTCTATTCTGGATCTTTTCTTGTAGTAGTATCAAGGTTTCAAGGTCCATACACCAATTTGTATTTGTTGGGTCCTCACAGAACAAGTTAAACATGCAAAGTACTGTGTTGGGATGTCAGCATGAAGGGTTCGAACGTTCTTTACAATCATTTTGTTCCTTAGCTGGAACCATCCTGGTTCAGGCTAGAGATATAGGTAAAATATGCATGGAACTAGAAAATGCAATTGAAGAACATAGATTCAATGATGCTTGGAAGTTACATGAGTTGCATACGCAAATGGAGGGTTTCCCTAGAAAATCCGTCGTGAACAAATTTTTAGCGAGTTTCACGGAAAGCCTAGACACCCATTGGCTTGAGAAGGCTTATGGATTGGTGGAACAAGCTTTTGAGGAGAGCAAACAGAACTTGTTAGAGAAAGATACTCTAATTTATCTTGCTTTTGGTCTTGCAAGATGTGGGTTACCTGTTCCTGCATCAACTGTTTTGAGGAAGTTGGTAGAAACAGAACAATTTCCCCCGGTGGCTGCTTGGTCTGCTATCTTGGCTCACATGTCACAAACCGGTCCCGGAGCTTACCTTGCTGCAGAGTTGGTTATTGAGATGGGTTACTTGTTCCAAGATGGGCGGGTTGATCCACGTAAAAAGAGTAACGCTCCTTTGATTGCTATGAAGCCTAATACAATCACATTTAACATTGCTTTGGCGGGTTGTCTTCTATTCAAAACTACTAGGAAAGCAGAGCAGCTTCTTGATATGATGCCTCGAATTGGTGTCAAAGCTGATGCGAATTTGTTGATCATTATGGGTCATATTTATGAACGAAATGGGCGAAGAGAAGAGCTCAAGAAGCTTAAGAGACACATCGATGAAGCCCATAACCTAAGTGATGTTCAGTTTCGGCAATTCTATAATTGTTTGCTTACGTGCCATTTGAACTTTGGGGATCTAGAATCTGCATCGAATATGGTTCTGGAAATGCTCCGAAAGGCAAAGGAAGCACAAAATTCTCTTGCTGCTGCTACACTTGTCTTTGAAGCTGCTAGAAGTGACAGAACATCCTCTGCTGAACAAGTTTTGATCCATAGAAAAACAGATGAATTAGAGAATGGTCGATTAGGTCAGTGCCATTCCATATCTTTTGAAGATTTTTCCAGAGACCGGAAATTTTTGAAACTTGAGGCTGAGGCTAAAGAATTGCTTGGTATTCTACTAGTGAAGTTGCAGAGGCAAGTGGAATTGATCACGACTGAACGTGGTATTCTACAACCAACTGAAAGAATTTATGTGAAATTGGTCAAGGCGTTCTTGGAAGCTGGCATGACGAAGGATTTGGCTGAGTTTCTAATTAAGGCTGAGAAAGAGGACTCCCCGGTTTCCATTGATGATTCAGTCTTGGTTCATGTCATTAATTTGTGCATTTCACTCGGATGGTTAGATCAAGCACATGACCTTCTAGATGAAATGCGTTTGGCGGGTGTTAAAACCGGATCTTCCGTCTATGCCTCTCTCCTGAAAGCATATTGTAAAGCAAATCGAGCAGGAGAGGTGTCATCACTCCTACGAGATGCTCGCAAAGCTGGGATCCAATTAGATTCAAGCTGTTATGAGGCACTAATGCAGTCCCGGGTGCTTCAAAAAGATACTCAGGGGGCCCTTAATCTGTTCAAAGAAATGAAAGAAGCTAAATTACCAAGAGTGGATCATCAAGAATTTGAGATGTTGGTGAAGGGATGTGCAGAGAGTGGTGAAGCAGGTTTGATGGCAAAGCTCTTGCAGGAAATTAAGGAAGGCCAAAGAGTAGATTGTGGAGTTCATGATTGGAACAATGTAATCCATTTTTTCTGCAAGAAGAGATTGATGCAAGATGCTGAGAAGGCTCTTAAGAAGATGACGAACTTAGGGCATGTCCCAAATGCTCAAACTTTCCATTCTATGGTCACTGGGTATGCTGCTATAGGGGGCAAATATACAGAAGTAACAGAACTATGGGGTGAAATGAAGTCTTTGGCTTATTCGACAACAATGAAGTTTGATCAGGAACTGTTGGATTCTGTACTTTACACATTTGTGCGAGGTGGATTCTTCATTCGAGCAAATGAAGTTGTGGAGATGATGGTGAGAGGGAAAATGTTCGTTGACAAGTACAAGTACCGCACCCTTTTCTTGAAGTACCACAAAACACTCTATAAGGGCAAGGCTCCAAAATTCCATACAGAATCTGAATTGAAAAGGAGAGAAGCAGCATTGACCTTCAAGAAATGGGTGGGCTTATGTTGACCCTCAGCATTGACCTTCCCTTCGTCTCTCTCTCTGTCTCTCTCTCACCTCTCTCTCTCTCTTAGCACCATTGATGCTCAACCTTTGAGCTTCGAATGGGAGTCCTTAGAGTGTGATTTTGTAAAAGTTTTGTAAATGAAAGTTGGAAAGCTCATCGTATTCTTCGCAGTGGTAGTCTCGAATAAAAAATCCGACGAGGTCTGCATTTTCGGATTTGCTCCTCTTCATTATTTGAGGTAGGACTTTCTTCATATTATTGCTTTAAATCCATGTTAGGAATATTTTGAGAAAATATATCATGACAAAAGGTATTACATATATTATTCTCAGATTTTTGTTTGAATAATTTTTGAAAGAAAATTATGTTGAAATGTTAAGAATATTCACTATGTTTGGTTCCATTTTTTCAAAAACAGTTTTTAGAAAATTCTACTTTCTTATTTTCCGTATTTATTTTGTTTTTACTGAATTTTTTTAATATTTTAAGAATTTTTTTTTTACTTTTTAGACATGCCTAACATAATTATACTTAAAAAGTAAAAAATTTGTGAAAAAATCCTTTTAAAAATTCACTAAATACTAAAAATATAAAAAAAATACGAAAATTATGTACATTTTTTTTGTATTTTTATGTATTTATTAATTTTTTAAAATATTTTTTCACAAATTTTTTACTTTTTAGATACATCTAAGTAAGGTGCATCTAAAAAAGTAAAAAAAAATGTTTAAAATGTTTAAAATATTCACTAAAAACAAAAAAATACGAAAACAAAAAAACTTAGTTTTCAAAAAACTTAATCCAAAAAACTCAAACCAAACACACTGATTGGTATTTTGAAATTGATTTGGAAAAATTATCTTGTGTTGGTAATATTGGTTAAAAATGCGAAAGCAAATTTAATATTTGTATGATTTGTATCTACATCATATTATGATTAGATAGTTTATTTTGAGAAAAATAATGTTGAAATATTATCTCATCTTTGATTTTTGAAATTTATTTTTGAGAAAAATAAATTGATGTTGATGAATATTGTGTAAATTGTCAAGTTGGAATTATAAAGTTGTTTTGGGATTAAAAACTCTAAAAGTATTGTATTCATGATATTTTATGAATGGTGATGTATTGATGATTGGGTTTTGTTCATTTTTGTAAAAATGAAAATATGAAATATGGACTTTTGAACTACCAACCTTAAAAAGTGTACTCTTGTGCATATTTTATGATTTTTGATGTAAATATCATATTGATTAGTTAATTTTAGAGAAGTTGTGAAAATTATTATTGTAGAGAATTTGGGAAAAATTAGCTATTTGAGTAGCTTGGCATGAAATATGGTCATGTTTGAAAGATGAGTCATGTTAAAGTTATGTTTGATATTATTTCTTTGGAAAATTGTGAATATAATGAACTTACTAATTTAGTGGATTAAATTAGTTTGGTTAATATTTTATATCATTCGTAATTAAAAGTGTGTTACTGGGTTTATTTCTTAACTTTTAATATTATGGAATTAAAAATGGTAAAGTTGACCAAGTATGAGATTTGGAGAAAATAAGTAAGATTAAGTTGTTTGGTGTGAAACATGGTTGAACTAAGATTATTAGTTAAGTTGATGTGATTTGATATTTGGTCACTAGTTTTACTAGTTGAGTTATGTTATTATAATAATTTCATACCTCAAATTCATAGATGAGATATTTAAATTGTTTTGGCAATTTTTAACAAGAAAAGAAAAGAATGTGATTTTAGCTCATTTGGAGCAAATGGATGTTTTGGATTAAAACGATAATGAATTATCAAAGCTTTTATTTATTTATTTATTTTCCTTGGATCAACTTGATGAGATTAATGTTGATAATTGAAAAGTGAACACTCGTGTTATATTTTATAACTATAGTCAAAAGAGGATTTTGATATGATTAACTAAGTGTTGGAAAGTATATGGAAATATTAAGAGATTTTTATGCTATTCATTGCTTTAAGAGGTTTTATTCTTGGCTATCGGTGGAGGATGGTAGTGGTTGTTGTATAATGAATAGTATGCGATATGTGTTGTGATTTACTTGCGTAATTTAGAATGATGTGGAAACATTGTGAGATTGAGTAATTACGTTATTAGATGAGAATGAATGGAAGCAATTGGAAATGCATATTGTGGAAGTGTGATTATGCTATATAAAGGTAACGCAATCCTTCCGGATAGCAACGGATAAAGCAAGCTAGTGTGCTATGTAGAGGTAATGCGTTCTTTCCGGTTAGCACCTAATAAAGCAGGCGGATGTGCTATATAGAGGTAATGCGTTCCTTCCGGTTAGCACATGGTAAAGTAGGTTGTGCTGTCTAGAGGTAATGCGTTCCTTCCGGCTAGCAACCGGTAAAACAGGTAGATGTGGGGCTTGGTGATATCACAAGAAGTTTATTTTATTATGACATGTTATTACTAATGTGTGTATATGTGTTGTAATGAGTGCCCAGTTGTCCCTCTGTGCTTATGATCAGAAAATGTGGGTGATGTCTTGGAATATTATGGATTGTGGTAGTTTGTTGATTGATTGTCCACTTAAATTAACTATCATGAGCTAATTAAATGAGATATGTGTATGTTTATTGATAGCTTGTTAATTGTGAATTTGTTTAAGTTCATCGACATGAGTTAATTAAACAAATGGATTGGAATTGATGCCTTCCTAATAATCATTATAACTTGTGGATTCATTTAACTAGTATGAGTCATTTAGATGAAATGTATTTGGCGCTTTGTTACAGAGGTGTTTTGATTTTTGCTTTTACTTAAATTCTTTCAATTAATGATGATGGATGTGAACTATGCAGGAAACTTTGTGAGGTTGGAATAAGATATTTGGAAGATGGTAGCAAAGTCAGAGTTTCCCAAGGAATAGGAGCATTACCATCCATAATTCCTCATGCTGAGATCCTAAAGATAAAGATCATACCTACCCTATGGTCAGTATTGGCCAGTCTTATTACCGATACATGTGACCTCGCGTGTATAATTTTTAGTTCATGATTGTACAATTCTGCTCATGTATTACCCATATATATATATATATATTCTGCTCATTTATTGGTGATGTTGGAAAGGATGTTTGATTCTAAAACTGAGAAGGCATGCTGGATCTATAAATCTGTCTTTCCTCAGTTTCGTTGGAAACATCTAACATAATGAAAAATGTTGCAGATGAATGTCTGTCAGTTTTTATTTATTTGTACTTTGATTTAATGAGATTTTATTTATGCACTCTTAGGGATCAAAATCAAGAAAGATATTTTAAACAGAGTTCTATTGTTAGAGTTTACATAGAAGTGACAAAAAGGAGCAGGGAATTTGTTTGCTTCTTCTGAGAAATTTAAATTAAAAAGAACTAGCCTTGATGAAAAATTATGAATGTTATTCTTTGGTATCTGGCTATAATTTTTGAGGAAATATCAATGGTATTTGGTGAAAGAAATATAAATTTAGTTGAGAATTTATAATAATTGCAAAACTGGTGGAAGAGGAAATATAATTTCAAAGTGATGGAATCTCTCTCTCTCTCTCTCTCTCTCTCAAATTGTACTATGTTAGTGAAGTTATATTACAATTAAAGGGGTCGCTGCTGTTCCATCAGCTCGAATTCCTGACCCTCACCACACTCTAAGGTGTGGCTATAAGACCATTGGGCCAAACCCAATGTCTACACTCTCTCTCTTTTCCTTTCCCTTCTTCGTTTCTTCTTTTGTAAAACACTAACTAGTCTCTCTCTCTCTCTCTCTCTTCGAGATTGTAGTATGCTAGTAAAGTTATATTACAATTAATGGGGTCATTGCTATAGCTACAAGACCATTGGGCCAAACCCAAGGTCTACACTCTCTCTCTTTTCCGGTCCAAGGTCTACACTCTCTCTCTTTTCCTTTCCTTTCTTCGTTTCTTCTTTTGTAAAACGCTAACTGCTCTCTCTCTCTCTCTTCAAAATTGTAGTATGCTAGTAAAGTTCTATTACAATTAAAGGGGGTCGTTACTGTTCCATCAGTTCGAGCTCCTAATCTTCCCCTCGCCACACTCTAAGGTGTGGCTACAAGACGACTGGGCCAAACCCAACGTCTACACACTCTCTCTTTTCCTTTTCCTTCTTTGTTTCTCCTTTTGTAACACACTAAACAATTAAACATTGACTGTTGACGCTCACTGCAAATTCCTCACTGCCACTAGTAGCCTTTCTTTCTACCTTCCACCCCAACCCCACCCCATCACCAACCCCGACCCCCTTCCATACCCTACTTCGCCAACTCCATTGCACACCATCCTCCATATTCCTCTTTGCCACCCCTATCGCTCTGCTCGCCACTCTTAGTATATCTTCTCACCTAACAACCATTTTATCCAACCCCATCACCAACCCCGACCCCCTTCCATACCCTACTTCGCCAACTACATTGCACACCATCCTCCATATTCCTCTTTGCCACCCCTATCGCTCTGCTCACCACTCTTAATATATCTTCTCACCTAACAACCATTTTATCCAACCCTCTAGTCCCTTCTTATCATGATACCACACCTCTAACCATATTGTTGCAACATTGTGCTCAATGCAAATGCCACTTATGTTTAGTACAAATGCAATTTATGTGCAGTAATAATGACAAGTGTGACAAACCATATAATTTGCACTTGCACCCAGTGTAGATGTTGTACTTGCACTAGACACATATTTCACTTGTACCTGTATACATATTACATATTGCATTTGTATCAATATGTTTTACAATAGAAGGGATTGGGAGTATGAGATCACAAAGGGAAGGAGACTTGGAATGGTTGTGGTGGTTGGGATAAACGGGTTGCTGGGTAGAGAAAAGAAAGAATGGAGGGGCTAGGGTGGTGATGGTGGTGGTTGGGAAAGGTGGAAGAGGGAATAATGGAGTGGTAGTGGAGGGTTTTGTTGTGGTTGCTGATGGGGGTAGCTAGCAATAGTGATTGCAAAGGTAAAGAAAGGGGACATTTTTGTCTCGTTAATTTGAGATTCCATGATACTAATGTTATTGCGCACCATTTGATGTTATTTTGCAACATTTAATATGTATTGATATTATTTGCTCCATTTTCCACCGTATTAATATTTACACTTCAGGTAATTGATTTTTGTAAGCTATCTCGAATGTACCTTGTATGTACCTGTTGGTGAAAATTTGGTTTAGGCCCAATTTGACAGTGATTGATCAACAAATTTTTACAAATTTTAAGTAAGCACAAATAAAAATCAGGCTTTGTGGTTGAGTTTTATGCCTTAAACAGATTAAGCTTCCTTGGAGGTAAATAAGTAAAAGAAAACAAAGCAGAACAGAATAGAATATGTATTTATTCAATTAAATTGTCACTTGTTATTAGTTACACGAACTGAAACAAGACCAAATAAATGAAAAAAATACAGCAATCGACAAAGAGAAGAAGAATGGGGGTTGGAAAACTATCACTTAAGGCCATGTTTGTTTGGGCGGACTGGATCAGCATTCCCATGACTAATAGTCCTAGGACTACGAATCCGTTGGATTATGTATCCTATCTTAACTAATAGTCAAGTTTAAAACAATTAGTCTGTACTTCAATTGTTTAACCAAACATCAGATTAATAATTTTATTGGATTATTAGTCCAATCCCAAGCTCATGTCCACCCAAACAAACATGGCCTTAATCTACTCCTAAAATGGCTAACTTAAACTACTCCTAAATAATTCTTCATGAGTCATAAGTGGTTGTGGATTGTTTTTTCTTTGCACCCAGCTCTCTTTTATACTTGACTTGCTCAGCCTTCAGTTTTGATCTTCCTTGATTTTTTTCCCATTTGCATATCTATCTCGACATTCTAGGGACTGCTACTTTGAACTTTGATCTCTTCCTTGATTCTCTGCCACCACCTTCCTTATCCTTAAAAAAAAGGTCCCTTGACACATCCTTCTTAATATGCCATGTCAGCAACTCATGCCATATCAACCAACCTACCATGTCACCTATCGACGGAACGTTTCCAAATTTTAGCACCAACAGTACCAAAAAAATAAAATAATTGTACCCTATATATTCTTGCCAGTCAGTGCTATTGTTCATGGAAATGTTAATGGTATTGGTTGTGTATATTTGGACATGTTACTTAGGCTCTTTTTGTTGTGGCAAAAAATGTCTTTTAAAAAATTTAATTTATTTTATTTTATATATTTTTGGATGTTTTGTGAGGTTGTGTCATGACAAAATTACCATTAGTACAATTATAAAATTACACTACCCTTACTACATTAGTTGCGGCTACCTCTGACCGTTATCTCTGGCTGCCGATGACAATTTTCCAACCCCACCAGTAGCTAGTATTTTCTTCGCCGTCTCTTTGATTTTTTTGGCAAAGTAAAATTTTGTTTTTTAAAAAAAAAAAATCAAAAGTTGCCATCTTTAGAGCTCTCAATTATAACATTTTTGCATTTTCTTTTCCTTTTTACAATTTTTAATATTCAATTAAAATATCATTGGGTGCAAAAAGCCAAATTTTATTAACTCACATAGTGAAAATTTACTGAGACACAATAATGATAAACATTTTGGCCTGAACAAACATATATTTTTAGTTTATGTTTTTAAATTTTTTTAAATATTTTGTTCAAACCAAACGCATTTATAATTTATTTTTTTCTAAAAATAAACAAAAACTAGTTTATAAAATTTTTGTAAACATAAACAAAAAACGTAAACGTTACCAAACGTTACCAAACACTTCCAATGCAATTTCATCGTGCAATGAAAAATTTCATTGTGTAAGGTTTACTGTGTATTTTATAGTGTTTGTATTTCACTGTGTGACTTTGAATTTACATATTTTTTAACAAAGAAATGAATGATAGAGAATAGATAGAGACAAAAAGAAGAATAAGAGACAATAAAGAAAGAAAAAGATAAAGAGAAACCAAAACAAATCTGGACCATAGAAGCTGACGAAGAAGCAATAAGGTGGCGTTGGTGGTAGAATGTTTGAAATGGAGGTGGTAAAGATTACACATGAATAATGTCGTAAGGCAGTAGTCGTTGTGCGAGGTCATTGAAGTCAAGTGAATGTGACGGTGCATAAACAATCTGATGAAGAAATTGGTGATAATGACAACGGTAGTTGTGATTTGCCAATGGTAGTGTCATTCAAAATCTAAGATGACATGAGAGAGAGAGAGGGAGAGAGAGAGAGAGAGAGAGAACTTTTTGTGTACTAGGACTCTAACAAAAACTTATAGAGTGGTTATCCATAATTTTCAGTAATAATATCATCTACATGCATATGTATAGAAAATTTAACTTCATTAATAAGTTGTTAAAATTTTGGAAAGATTATTTCTACTTTACCACTTTGTTCAAAATAACTTATTATTTACCTTTTTTGTAGGGAAGAAATATAGACAAATGAAATTGGAAAAATTAATAATTTCAAATTAGTAGAAATTTTGCAGTTAGTTGCACTAGAAGCACAACTCACTTAAACTCCACTAATTTACAAGTATTTATATGATATTTTCTCATTTATTTTTTTCTATATATATTTTTTATTGGACTTTTGTCCCACAAATAAGGGTGCACACAAGTTGATTTGGGTTGGTTTTGTGAAAAATTCATAAACAAAATTAATTTTTGACATATTAAGAATTTTTCAACCCGTCACCAACTTATTCTTAAAATTGACAAGTTAGTTGAATATTTTGACTATTTTAAACCAATAGTTTGAGTAAGTTGGACAAGTAGAAATACAAAATTAAAAAAAAAAAAAATCACTTAATATACAACCTTGTTTTTTTGCTTTTGTTTTTGTGTTTTCTTTTAAAAATTATTATTTATTCTAAAAATATTGACAAAAAAAAAACTCACAAATTAATCAAATATATGATATTATTCAAAATTACATTTTACAAGGTAATAAACAAAATAATCAAATTAAGAAAAACTATGCAATGAAAACGATAAGTGCCACCCGACTAATGGTATTAGAGCATCTCCAACAGTAGTAGGCATTTTACCTATCTAAATATTACTATAAAGTATATATTTTATTTTGCCTATCAACTGTTTTATGTTTTTACTCCAACCATGCTCTTTATTTTAGCTATTAATCCAAATACTATTAATTTTATAGAATGCCACGTCAACAACAAAGATGGAGGGAAATGATCCTAATGATTGAATACATTTTGCCTAGCGTTGAAGGCTAGCTACATGTAGCTAGTGAATTTTAGTTGAGCCAAAATGCCTAATCATATGCCTAGTGCGTTGGAATTGAAAAAAGTGAATCACACTAGGCATTTTAACTAACAAGTACTATATGCCTAGTGCATTGGAGATGCTCTTAGAATTTAAAAAAGCTCAGTATAAAATAATTTTGCATAAATAAGTGGGTTATTGGTAAATTGATAAATTTTAGATTTTGTTTGGTAAGATGGTTAAAACTAATTTAGTTTACTAAAAGATAAAATAAGTTAGGGTAAATTATAAATACACCCCCTTAAAGTTTGCTTAAAGTATAAATTGCCTTCTGTAGTTTGAAAAATTACAAATACCCCCTTGTTAAATTTTTTTATTTAACAGAATTTACTAAAAAAAAAGAAATTCATAATTTCTCTCTTATACAATAATAAAATTACCTAAATTATTAATTGAAACATATTTATAACATCATTAAAAACTGTTAATTGACTTGATAATTTATTAATAAAAGTGGTGATTTGTTATGAAATTAAAAAACCTTAAGGGGTGGAATGTAATTTTCAGAATCACAGGGAGCGATTTGTATTTTAATCAAACCTCAGGGAGTGTATTTGTAATTTACCCAATAAGTTAAAAAGTTATAAGACAAAATATCATATTTAAATCATAATCATTTCATTTTTTTTTCCTTATAAAACTATAAAAAAAAATCAAAAGTTCATTTCAAACGAAACCCTTTTAACTATGCTAAAATAGTAAAAAAAAACTAAAAAATCAGGCTAAAAAAATTCTTCCCAAACGAAGGCTCAATCAATTTGCCAATGTTTATCATTTAAGAGCATCCACACCAATCTCAACAAATTTTGAGTTAAATTATAATTAAAAAGCTACTTTTCTATTTTAGTTAGTACTTGTTGTATGTACACACTATATTAGACTTTCTATTCTAAAATTAAATTTTGTAAAATATTTATTTTGTATTGTTAAAAAGCAGACAAAGTACAGGAGAAGTTAATTTTGTATTGCTATATATATGCAGTTTCATATTTTAAAAAAAAAAAAAAATTGTGCCGACAACGATTGTCTGGCCGGACATTCAAAGTGTATAGGATATATCTATGCAGTTTCATATTCCTAAAAAAAGAAAAAGAAAAAAAATGTGCAACAATCGGTCATCTGACAGGATGTAACGTCACAATTAAGAATAAATAACAAAATATCATATAATTTGTGAACAGTATATCGCTACATGTAGCGGTGTTCTATAGCAAAATTAATCAAAAATTAATTTAAAATAATTTGTTAAGATTAATAGAATAAGAATTTTATAATTTATTAACAATATTTAACAAAAATCTATATCTGTTGATACTGATATGGATGTTTTAAAAGCTCGTTTGGGAAGTAGATTAGCTTTTTGATTTTTTTAACTATTTTAGCCTAAGACTAAAAAGCCTGATTTGGGAAGAATTTTTGACTTTTTTATGAGAGAAAAAATGTAATGATTATGAATTAAATGTGATGTTTATCTTATTGAGCTAAAAAAATTATTTTATTTTCGTGACTATTTTAGTAAAAAAAAAAAAAACCTCAAAATCAACTTTCCAAGGTTAAGTCACTCAACTCAACGCAACTCAATTGGTTGGTTTTCTCAAACAATGGCAATAAGGCCTAGTTTGGAAAGACTAAATAAGTGTACTTTTTGACTTTTTTTGTATTATGTGTAAAAAAAGTAGAGAAGAGATGTTGATTGATGTGACCCAAAAAAGATAAAAAGATGAAATAAGTGCACTTTTTTCTTTGTAGCCAAACTTGGCTTAAATTTGGATTGGACCAACCCGAATCCAGTGGAACACTGGATCCGTTGCGTGGCGTTGGTTTGGGGCTCCGATCCCGAACGTAGGGTTTGGTTTGGTGCCTCTAAAACCCAAACCCCCCAACTTCAGTTCCGAGAGATAGAGAGAGAACAAAAACACTGACTCCCAGCTGCTTCTCCATCTCATGGCTTTTCTTTTCCAGAAATTTCAAGAGGTACTCTCTCTCTCTCTCTCTCTCTATATATATATATATGTATGTATGTATATATGAATGCTTTACAAATTTGTTGTTAATTTTATTTGATTATTGGTATATATCTATGATTCTTTCTGGACAATGCTTGCAATTGATTGAAATTGCTTCCAATTCATTTCTCTTTCTCTTTTTGTTTGGTTGAACTACTCATTTTACATTCAAAACTAGTTTAATTGGCATACCCACACATAACTATGAACATCCAAATTAAGGGTTTATTATTATATTTGTTCGTAATGCAAAATCCGATATTTACCTACCCCCAATATGTTTGCGACAAGGATTGGACTTTGGGCCTGGAAAATGAACGAATGTACTAACAAATTTACTACTTTTATTTTCGTACAAAAATATTTCCGCGGAGCTTTTTAAGCTAATTTCTCATTTTTTTTTTATTTTAACCCTAGTACAATAGAGAGAGTGACTAGGTTATTATGCTGTATTTCCTTGCCTTTTATATGTGCCTATGGTGGTGTGCATTGAGTGGAAAAGTAAGGTTAGTATTTTCTTTGCTGCAATTTGTTAAAATTTATTTGGGGTAAGTAGATTAAAATGGTTTTGTTTTGTGGAAAACTAGAGGCAACTATAAGTTGGTTGAACTGCTGTTACTTCAAAATTATATAACATTACGATTAACAGTGCCACCAAACCACCTCCAACCACTTTTCATTATCCATGGTATCCTTCCCCGTCCATTGCACCCAACCACCTCCAGCCGCTATTCATTATCCATGGCTAACAGTGCCATTGCCAACACCCATTGCCACAACACTGCCATCATCCACCAACAAAATCCACGACAACACCCCCAACAACGCAACGCTGTTGTTAGTGGAAATTGTGTGAAACCCATGGCCACCCCCAATTCCTATCATTACCAAAGAAATCCCCAAATTGATTGAGTTAGAAGAGGAATTTGAGAATGTGAGCATGCTGTATCGTGTGAGGGAAAGTGGTGGCCCAATAATTCAACTTTAAACATAGCAAATCTTACATCACTTAAGCATTACATCAAAGTTTCAAACAACTTGTAAGCATTTGTGAGTAAGATTTGGTACAAGGCGTTCCCACCATCCTCCCCTCCAATCCTTAACTACTAACTCCCACCTTTTCCTGCCACCCCTCATCCTTCATTCACCCTCACCTGCCACCCCCAATCCTCTTACACTCTCCCCACCACCCCAACCCTCTACCATCACTCATCCATCCTCCCTTGTGACCCCACCGCCATTCCACCCTCAACCAACACTGAATCGATCATCAAACCACTATATTCACCATTGTAGCCATCCTCCAAACAACCACAAGTTTTAACAGATAAAAAATTGATCAACAAACCATTCCAGAGAGACACAACCCCTCGCACAACAACGCAACAATCCCTCAATCGTAGCAACTAATACACCTCCACCCAACAACATTGTAGATCATTGTTAGCCTCACCCCTCTTTTCGTTCTTTGTTTTCTTCCATCATAACACATCTCATTATTTTTAGGGTTGGGGATTAGGTTTAGGTTTGGGTTATTAAAGTTAAAATGGGTATTTTTGAAATTTTTGATGATGATGTCATCAAAATTCGTTAGTTGATGGTGGGTTAATAGGTGGTATTGTGATGAGGTTTGGAACCTCAAAGAGCGGGATGTAATTTTCAAAATGTGAGGGAATCAATTGTATATTTCATTAACCTGGGTGGGTATATTTACCCAAAATTTTACAAGTTCATGGCAAAAAATGAAGTTTTTTTACTTGCTTTTGAAGAATAAAATTGGTTAGGGAGAAAAATAATGAATAGTACGATTGATGTAGATGTGTGAGATTGACGTATACATAAGACCACCAGATGGGTTGGGCAATCTAAAGCCAGGGCCACCCGTAATCTTATGGACAATTGTCACTAGTTAGAATTTGTATAGGAAATGATAAGAGCGCCAAGGTTTTGTAAGTGGTGGGACAAATACAAAGTGGGGGGAACATGTTAGGTCACTTGAACATTTATGTGAAAAGGGAAAAATAGAAATAAACTATGTTCTATTGATGTGGGATAACAGCTACCTCACATACATAGGAAACTATTATGCAAGAAAAACACACAAAAAAAAAAAAAAATGTAATAAATTTGCGAAATTTATTTATTTATTATTTGCTGGGGAAATGGAATTAGCTTTGGCTCATCAAAATATGATGAGTAGTTTTTCTTCACTTTTTGATTTTGTTTTTCAGTCCAACTGCAGCTTGTGTATCACTTGATACTCTTGATACTGTTACACTGGGACCCTTATAGTTATGTCTCCTAGTACCATGATTTAGAGCCTTGTTGTTTAACCTTTGGCTAGGTTTTTAACATGATATGTTTTGCACCAAAAGATTCTAAAGAGAAGGAGTTTATATATTTTAATTGCACATGCACCTTTATATAAAAGGTTCTTTTGTGGAAGCAGACCACACTATCCACTTGGTTTGTTAACTTGAATCAATTGTCTTGATTACATTCAAGGGGGTTTTACTCATTAGAAGTGGGTGGTTTTTTTTGAAGAATCCATATTTGAGATGATACATAAATAGTGGAGCAGCTGGAGCTTCCATACTTGAATTTGTCACTACCTATTATTCACTTCCCCCCACTGTCAATTAACCTTACTCATTGTTGCACCTTTATCTCCAATGTTATTTATTTATTTATCTTTTAATATAAATTTATGGTTACATGTGGGACAAAGAGTTATCTAGAATATGCTCAATGCAACTGCTTTAGATGTCTTCATGTCAAAATTTTGAATATTTGTGTTACTATTTAGGCATGTTTTGGGAGTTTTCCTACCAACTAACAGATTTCACCTCCTTATTCCAAATATGTATTTACAATATCAATGACCCCATTGGGTTGGCCACAAAATTACAACCTGGCATTTGCATCCAATTTGGGATAATTGATCTTGTTACAGTACAGCAGAATTTGTTAGTTGATAGATTCCCTCATATGTTAAACGTGCCCGCCTGCTTTAGTCCTAAACATTGCTACTGTTTAATCTTTCCATCATCTTTTTAATAAGGTTTTTCTGTTTCTTCATTTTGCTATTAGGCTGTGAGAATTCTTGCAAAAAGTCCCACATTTGCTAGAAATCCAAGGCACATTCAATTTGAGGCTGATATAAATCGCCTCTTTCTTTACACCAGGTTAGTATCATTTGGTTATTGAGTTAACCATTGTTTATGTTACTCTTGTCCCGAGCCTGCTTTTGCCTTTCACAACACCTGTGTTTTGTGCTTTAAAGTTACGAAGGCATTAATGCTTGATTGACCTGAGTTTTGTGGCCTTGAAAAAGAAGAAATTTTAACAATTGTTAATGTATTGAAAATGGTGGCATATATTATGGAAAGGTCATAATAAGATGCAAATTCATCTTGAATTCCTGAAGTATATCTATTATTGGCAATAATTTTATGGTATTTCAATTTGAGCAAATATAATTTTTGTTTCTACCTAGAAATCTAGTAGTAAGGCTTTGAATTTGTAATTAGGGTATGCATTCCATTTTGTAAATTCTTAACGTAATGCCTTTCAAGATAAAAATCTAACCAATGGGACAATATTAACTTATTAAATACTTAATGAACTTGGCTTAAATGACAAAAAGATCTTGACTAGCAGGAGCTAAGAGATCTAGTTGTTGACCTTGAACAACTTTTAGTTTACATCATTATTATTTTTTCCCTTATTCAACTTGGAGGAAGTAGTTTGACATCTAGTGATGATTTGAAACTTTCGGGATTCGAATTGTGAATCAAAATGGCATTGTATTGAATTGCGAATAAAATCGAATTGTGAATTGTAAAGGTTCGGTTACTTTTTATTTGGGATTATATAGAAAACTATATCTATACACTTACTTAGGGATTAAATATATCTTATAATATGAAATATTTAGACTCAAACTCCTAAAAATATTGTTTTGAATAATGATCAAGTAGTCTAATAGATAAGAAGTTAACACATGTTCCCATATAAGACCTCCACCTTACCTTTTTTCCTTTTAAATATTTCTTATCAACCATTCTCACTAGGTGCCTTCAAAAGATTCCTTTTATAAGTGTAAACACTACGGTAATGTTGATTATCAAAACCTACAATATTGTAGAGAGAAGATTCTAATTTTTTTTTTTCTTTTTCTTTCAAGGTTTGAATCTTTGAGAGTAAATAGGCAGGGAGAAAGTCAAAGGATAGCATATAGTAACCCTAAAGACCTTAGAAAAATTGTGTGAACCCTTTTTCAAAAATAAAAAGGCAAAAAAGAAGCCAAAAAGTTGATTTCAGCGAATCAAAAGTGAATCAATCGATTCACCGATTCACTCACGATTCACAACTATTTGTGATTTATGCAACATGTTCGTATCGACTACTCACTGAATCATATCGAATTGTATGATTTGAATCGCGAACTGTATGATTCCAATAATAGAATAGCAATACTTGGCATAATCAGTGTTATTAAAGGCGATTGGCACACCAAGGCGCCGAGGTCTCCTGGGGCCTAGGCTCAAGGCGCAGGCTCCATTGAAGTGAGACGCACCTTGTATGGGGAAAAAATATATATATATATATATATATATAAGTAAATAATAGGGTTCAACGTAAACAAAATGAAGTGTTAAATATTTAGTGTTCATTGGAGATTAGGAATTAGGGCTAATTTTTCTTCTTTCATTGATTTGGGGTTGAATGCCTAATGTATTGGCATCTGAAGAGTAGGGATCTTCTATAGTTGTACCATATTAAATCAATGGTTAGATTTTAAACAAAACTAATTAAAGCAATAGTAAAAAAAAAGCCCTCAAGACACAAGCCTTGGGCCTTATTAAGCCTTGGACCAGTCAAGCGCCTTATCGAAGTTGACTAGGCTAGAACACTGCAAGCTATGAAGCACGGATACGGACACGGACACGCATACGGACACAGACACGGACACGGGACATGGCAATTTTTAAAAAATGGGGACACGGACACGGTAGGGGACACAGCAAATTTTTTAATTTTTTTTTAAATATTTTTATTTTAATACATATTAATTATTTTATTTATTTATTATATTTTCTAAATAATGTGTTCCAATTAATTTTTTTATTTATTTTACATACATGTGTTTATTTTATTTATTTATTAATATGTATACGTATATATTATCTTATAATATGTTATATAATAACTATTATATAATAGTTATAATATATATTAATAATAGGTATTATATAATATATATAAAATAATAATAGTTATTATATAATAGTTATATATATTATATATGATGAATCGAAAGACGAGAAGATAAAGACGAGAGAGAACCGAGGGAGAGGGAGAGGGAGACAGAAGCAAGACAGAAGCGAGAGATAGGGAGACGATCGCGATTGTGAGGGAGAGAAAAAATGCGGGAGAGAGAGAGCTCTGAGACGGCAAAAGGACGAGAGAGAGAGAGATCTGAGAAGGCAAAGGCGAGAGACAGAGCTCGTCGAAGTCGAATGGGGCTCTGGATCGTCGAAGTCGAAGGGCTCTGGATCATTGCTGACCAGGTTTGTACTCGTTTTCCCTTTCATTTTACTCTTCTCGCTGTGTCGCTGTGTCTATGGCGTGTCCCCGCAGTGTCTCTTCCGTATCCCTTGTAAAAAAATAAATTAAATTAAGGGGACATGCCAGATGCCGTGTCCTGTGCGTGTCTCCGGCGTGTCCTCGTGTCCCCGACATGTCCCTGTATCCGACACCCCCACGGCTTCCATTTTAGCGTGTCCATGCTTCATAGACTACAAGGCACAAATCTTGGGCTTGGATGGGACTTGGGTCTAGGCGCGCCTTTAATAACACTGGGCATAAGTTTACAATTATTTATGATTGTCTATGTTACACGGACTCTTTGAAATTTGGGAGGTACCCATGTTGATACGACACAACACGACACGACATGATACGGGTATGAATGTGGGATACGGTCGGGATATAGTTCTTTACAAATGGATACGGCTCTATTTTGCCCTAAATGTAGAAAAAATGAAAGAGAGAGCAAGGAGAGAACCTGGCGCTGGCTTTGATCCTCTGTTCGACGACTTCGACAAGCGTGGCTCCTTCGTTCTTGTGTCACAGGTTTCGACTTCTCCTTTGACTTTGACAAGCATGGCCCCTTCGACTTCGACTTCGTCTTTGACGAGAACAACTATAGACGATCTTCATCTTCGTCTTCGTCTCTCTCGATCTCTTTTCTCTTCTCTGTTCTCTCTTCTCCTCTCTATGTCGGTGAATATCAATCTCTTTTTTGTCTCTCTCAAAAGAAATTCAATTAAATCATATATAATTAAAAAAAATCTATAAAAAAAATCATCCATTTTTTTTATATTTATTTTAACATAATTTGTTATTATTTATTTGTTATATTTTTTTATTTATAATATATATATATATATATATATATATATATCAATTAAAAATAAAAAACTTATATAAAAAATTAAAAATATTATCAACAAAAATAATACATAAGATAAAAAATAATAAATATATTTAAAAAATAACTATTTAACGTATCCTTGTACCCGTATCCAAATTTGAATCTATATCCACGTATCCTTAATTTTTAGTTTTGAAGTGTCCAACCCACCCGAGTCCATGTAACATAGATGATTGTTGAGCTTTGATGAGGTAATTCACTTTCATAGTGTTGGAAGATTGAGACAAACATCATGATTAATATTCTGCATGTCATGTATTGATGCTCTAATCTACCATGTGCCTTCATGTGAACACGATGCAGCCTTTGTCGCCATATAGTTGCCTTCTTTTCTTTTTGTCATGCTAGTCTTAATTCCTTATGAAAACCTTGCATATCCAGCTATAATCGTTTAGGAAGGAATGCTAATGAATCAGATGCAGAGGCGATCATTGATATGGCTGGTAAGGCCTCCCTTGCTGATCAACAGAAACAGGTTCAAGAAAACATCCATTCTCAAATTAAAACCTTCTGTGCATCAATGGATGAAATTCTTCTTCCTGATTCAAAGAGCATAAATGAATCATCTGAATCAACTTCACAAAGGAATCCTGCTGTGACCCGTAGCGGCCTTGGCCTTGCTGTTGGAAGGATGAGCCCACAAAATAAAAGTCCTGGTGAGTATTTATCTGCATCTTTATTTCAAACTGTCAGAAATTTGTTTTTATCAACTCCGGGACATTTTTAATTTCACTTTATTAGTGTTTGGAATTACTACAGCTTTTTATTCTATTTGAGCTAACACTGAGTTTGCTTAAATTTACCCACTTCCTGATTTGTAAAATTGATCTTAGAATATTTATTGTTATCTTATAGAATGAGTAGATAGTTTTACTGAAACCATCTAAGACTTTGGTTTATTTTTCTTTTATTTGTTATTTTTCTTTCATCGCTTTGTGTTATTGTTTTAAATTGAATTTATTTGACATCTGGAAAAAAAAGAGAGTGAGCTGCGAATAAATTGGTTCCTTTAAGTGCTCCTTGCCGAAAGTATATAGTGGTAGGTCTTGAAAAATCATCTTATTATGGGCAATAAAGGTAGTACACAATGCATAATAACATGGTTATTTTGAACAATAACTATGGTCTTGTTGCATAAGTAACTTGATATAGAAGAGCTTGACAGGTCTAGGTATGTGAATCCTAGTAGTCAACTATGGCAAAACTATGAGATCATTCTTAGAAATCTAGGAAGCTTGTTGACAAAAGATCTTGACTTGTGCTTAATGCCTTGTCCCATCTCACTTCCCCATTACCATGACATTTGGCACTATCAAAAGCAAGGCCTCCGATGTGGCTTTCACCTCTGCTGCTCCCAGTAATACTATAACAATCACACATCTCAGATAACATCTCTTTCCTTATATTTTTCTGTCTATCAATCATGACTATTTTCAAAGGAAAAAAGAAAGAAAACGAAAAAGAGAACAAGTTACTGATTGTGAAAAATGATTAGAGGTGTGTGGGAACTAGGAAAGAAGGATAGTGGGTATCAAAGTGCCTCATAAGGCGACTCAAAACTCCTTTTTTCATTTGATGTGACCCCTTGTGTGTTTGTGTGTGTATGTGTGCGTGTGCATCTGAAATAAATAGTTGGGATGTTAGCATTGTATGATCTTACAAACTTTATTTTTTAATGAGCATTTAGTCATCTTTTATGCATATCTTGGTTGTTTTATTATATGCGAATTTCTTTATATTGTGGTTTAGTCATTTCAATATGATATGCAGAACCGCAGATTCTTTCCCAATTAATGTTACTGATGTTGTTCTGTCCTTTTATGTGACATGTTATTGATGATTAACCATCTATATGAAATTATTGTTATATTGTTTTTTCTTTTAATGAGGTTTCTGGGACCTCTTGGAGCATTGAAGCTATTAAGATCTATCATCTATTGATGATCAACTAATGCTTTGTTTTTCCCCCCACTAAAATTGTCTGACAAAATTTTATCTGTGGTTTGAATGTTCTAGTACTAAAATAACTATATTGCCACTTGGTTCTCTGAATTTATCTTGATTGCATTCAATGGAAAGAGCAGAAGATTACATAATTTTATCTGTTTGTGTGCCTGTAGCAAATTTTAGTCACTGTAGTCAGTACCTAGCTTGGTCATCTGGCTAATTTATACCTATATTATTTGGTGTGGAACTCCCAATGATTTTGAGTAACTTTTAATGCTGGAACCTGATTATCGTGAATTTTCAGCACAGTTGTACCTGATACAATACCGTTAAAACCTGCTGAGTTGTCTCAGAGTCTGAAGAATATCATAGGCTACACTCTTGAGCTCAAACCATCTCAAATTCCGCATAAGGACGCTGGCCAAGGTTTATTCATAGATGGTCAAGCTGATGTTGGTACTGTAATAGCATTCTACCCCGGAATAATTTACTCTCCAGCTTATTACCGTTATATTCCTGGATATCCAAGAGTTGATACACACAACCCGTACTTGATCACAAGGTATGACGGAACTGTTATCAATGCACAGCCTTGGGGTGTTGGGGGCGAAATCCGTGAAGTGTGGGACCTCTCTAGTGTTAATAAATCTAGGCCAAATGTGAAAGATGATGCTAATAATAAAGGTTCTGACCAAATTTGGAAGATGCTCAATAAACCTTTGCAAGCCACACGAGTGGCCATTAGTGGCGATGTGTTGGAGCGGAGAAACCCACTAGCTTTTGCCCATTTTGCGAACCACCCTGCAAAAGATATGGTCCCAAATGTAATGGTTTGCCCTTATGATTTTCCGTTAGCTGAGAAGGATATGAGAACCTATATACCAAACATAAAGTTTAGAAGTGGAGAGGAAGCGAAGATGAAGAGGTTTGGAAGTTTTTGGTTTAAATCTTGGGGATCTAGCAACGGTGAATCAGATGTTCTGGTTCTTAAGGCTCTTGTCCTTGTGGCCACTAGGTCACTTTGTGATGAAGAGGTGCTCTTGAACTACAGGTTAAGCAACTCAAAGCGGCGACCATCCTGGTATACTCCAGTAGATGAGGAAGAGGATCGGAGAAGGTGGAGCTGAATTGGAGAATTGGATATTGAAGCAACTTCTTCTTGTGGCATTACACAATCATTTCTTTAGTAGCTGTCTCACTTGAGTTTCTTTGTTCCTTGGACTTTTTCCTCTCTTTTTGGATGTCATTATAAAGCTTTTTCAAAGCTGCAATTTGACCTTTTTGATTGTAACCTAACAATGAAGTGGACTATGCTGAAAGGAGGGTTAAATAATGTGGAGAGGCAAGCCAGTGTACAATGCTAGTGGCCTTAAAATAGCATCCACTAGACAGAAAAAAGGGAGAACTTGGAGATTGAATCCACTGCATGGAAGTAGGAAGCATCCACTGCACAAAAGATTGAAGTTTTTTTTTTTTTTTTGGATAAAAAAAGGAAGCATCCACATCACTTTGTCATTGGGGCTTTTTGTACATTTAATGGTTTTTTGTTTGGAATGGTTGCCTTGAACTTCTTAACTATGTAAAAGTAGTATTTTGGTTGTCACAAATAATTGTGTGTTTTGAAAACTTGAATGACAAATTTATGAATGTTGGTTTCGTGCGTGATGCTCTATTTTATGGATGCTGCTCTTGATTTGTATGTAAATTTTGCTTGTGTTGGTTTTGGTTGCCATTTGATGGATGGATGCCATTTCATGCCAATTCAGTAAGTATTGGATGGATGCAATTTATCAGTGATGCCAATTGTGTGTTTTGAAAATTTCAATGAGCAATTTTGAATGTAACAAACAATGCCAGTGATAGGTTTTTTATTCATTGGTTGCCATTTGATGGATGTATGCCATTTCAAGGGGCCATTCTAAAATGCCACCAATTATTTTTTGACTTAATGGTGACACTGTTTTTATTTTTTTATATTAAATGACAATGCTCTGTTTTTGTAAGGGTGAACACATTGTTTTTTAAGGGATAAACAAATGGTGTCATGCTCTGTTTTTGTTTTTGTTTTTTTTAGAGTGTAACCTTAACACAAAATATGAAATTTTTATTCAAAATACTTCCCTCATTACATTTCATTCATAATATTTCCCCTTATTACATTCATTCATTCGCAATAGTCCCCCTTATTACATTCTTTCTTACACTACATTACAAACCACATTGATAAAATGATGTACCATGAGACAACCAAGCATATCCATAACTTTCTCTCTCTTCGATTCCTTGTCTGTAATCTTACTTCTAGCTCATTGACCTTCTTTAACAACCCAGGGATGATTTGCACTACCCGTGAGCACATATGTGGGCCTACCCAGGTGAATTAATTACAACCATTACTAGGACAACTGATGAACCTCCTACCAGAATTTGTATCAGTCCATGATGTTTGTATCACCCTTCGTCTTTCACAGTAGATGTATCTCACATCTTCCATGTCACTTGAGCTCCATCTTCCTTCAGTTGAGCTCCATTTTCCCTGATTTCTTGACCCTCTATTCCTCATTCTCTCTCACTCAGTGAAATGATGCTCTGTTTTTTTTTTTTTTTTGAACTTGCTTGTGTTAAAGAGCAGAAGGGAGAGGTTGAATATGGTGGGAAAGACTCTTATATTCCCTCCAAAAGATAGTTTAGGGGGATAGCTCATCACATTTCGTCTAATTGTAGATGGAATGTGACGGCAGTGGTTGCATTAATCAATTTTTTGAAAATTCAGGTATTAATTGAAATTAATCAAAGTATGGGGGTCAAATTGAAAAACGCGTTATAGTTTGGGGGGCAAAATGATATTTTCCTTATTGATTTTAATTGAAATTTTAGGGTTAAATTGAAAAACATGTGAAAATTTAAGGGACAAAATGATATTAACTCCAAAAACACACTAAAAAGTATAAACACTAGTATTTATGTGGTTTGGGTACGAAAATTTTACTATAATATGAGTGATTACATATGATAGATAAAAAATACTCAAACACAAAACCTTTGCTTGTTTGTATGTTTTTTTTTTTTTTGGTCCTCATCTCTCTATCACTCTCTTAATTCTCACATCTAAATCCGTAGTTCCCGTTGAGTAATTTATAGGCAAACCCAAAGAAATTTAATATCATACAATTAAGAAACTAAATCAGACACATCTTGAATTTCTTAATAGATTTTAAACTCTACTACTCTACTCTAAATATATGTATAAATCAAATAAATAATATATGGGACTTATATGTATATGTGGATCATATTAAGGATCCATATGCTGCTTTGGTTTCCTCTGTCCGGCAATGAAGCATCCATACATATATGTGAATCATATTGTATTGAAGCGTACAAGATGGGCGAGATGAAGAGTGGCTGTTGTGACATTTCCATAACAGTTATCATGATAATTTAAATCATTCATTTTTTATAGTTTATCGAGTCGAATATTTTTGTAAAAAATCAAGTTGATTTGATATCAGTAACACTATGATCAAATCAATTTTGTATCAATAAAAATAAATGATTGGTGTAATTTTGAGTACAAAACTAAATACAAAATTGATTTGATTATAGTATTATCAATATCCAATCAATTTGATTTTTTACAGAGATGTTATACTCGAAAAAAATTAAATATTGAACGATTCAGATCATCGACATGAGACCCAAAATCAGCCCCCATCACCTGAACAACAGTTCTTGCAAGTCACCTTCATTTGGTCAGTTTTCAATTTATTGGTGTTGTTAGTTGATTATGAACGGTTGTGTTTCTTTCTAGCTTAAGATTTAAATTAGAAGGTATTGTTTGGTCTTGTGAGATTCATCATAGGTTTTGCTTTGATAATCTGAATTGTTCATTTTATAAGGCTTTTCGTGCAAATTTTTCACTAAAAATTAGGTGGATCCAATAATCACAATCTATTAAATTTATCATATTTATTTCCAAAATTGACAACGATGGTATTTTTTAAAATAGACCATCCGCTATTTTGGTGACAAACGTAATAAATTGAATATACAACAATTGTCAAACTGACCTAATTTTTTGTTTGGATAATATATACAAAAGACTTTATAGAATGAATGATTCAAATTATCATAATAGGACCCATGGTAGACTCCACAGTCCAAACAACACTCTTTGAAGGTAATTCAAGTCCAATTATGAAGTTACAACTCATGTTTATTTTATAAATGTTGTGATTTTTATTATTATTTTGGATAGAGAGAAAGTTATATTTTTATGCTAAGAAAAAAGTTATGCCATTTTTATGTTTAATGTTACAAATTTGAGTAATGTTAAGATTCGATTTTTTTTTTTTTTTAATAAAAAAATTATATACAATACTCACTTGAGTGTGAAACCCACTCTACATAGGACCAACATCCTTTTAAATATTGTGTAACGTTTTTTATCGTGAAAAATCTAAAACCCCCTAATATTTATTTGTAATTATGATTCAATTTTAAACAATGAATAGCAATCCCAATCAAACAATCAATAACAAATCGACACAACGATTTAACGTAGAAAAAACCACAATTGGACTCCTTCAATTGTGATAAAAAAACCATGGACCAAAGTCACAAAATAATCAACTAAGAAGACAAAAATGAATTATACACGAGAGCCCTTAATTACCTAGCGAATCCACGATCGAATTCAATCGAACCCGATGTGCCTCTTTCACCACCGTCTTCACTTCAGAATTGCTTTGCCAAACATTAAATGTACAATACTGATGTCGAATCCACGATAATGAATCACTTCGGAATCCACCAAAGTTTTAGGTCTAAGTTTCCCGAAACCCGTCGATGAACACTTCTCTTTTTGTGAATGAAAGAACAAAAATATCCATTGATTTTTGTCAATATATAATTTGTTTATCAATTGATCACCTTCTATATATCAAAGAAACTGATATATAAACACCCTCCAATATAGAACACTTTGTTTTTTAACTCCTCTCTGAGAATCTAGATGGGTTCAACCTTAAATCTAGATGGGTTCAACCTTATACTAAACAGAGCCACGAAGACTGATCGAGCACTCACTTTACAGCTCGAGCAGTAAGGCTGAAGGCGATGCTCACATATTGGCCAACCGCTCGAGTGCAACATCTGCCGTTCAAGCGGTAAAACTTATTAAATGAACTATTTTAGAAGCTCAGAACACTGGCTAAGATACTAAATGAACTATTTCACTACTTGAGCGCACAAAAGACTACTCGAGCGGTGATCAACTTTGACAACTTGGTTTCGGGGGCACTGTCCCTCGACCCCATTTGGGCGCTGCCCTGGACCCACTATTGAAGAAGCAAATAAGGACTACTTAAGTCAAGATACGAAACGTCAGCACAAACTCCTGTACTCAGGCACAATACGGTTTGGATTTGCATCTAAACTCTCATATCCTCACAGATACAAAAAACGAAAGCAATTACAATTGAATGGTATTTTTATCCAACGGGATTGTCAATTGCAAAAATCTAACAATCTCTTCCTTTGGCTATTCCGTGACAAAACATATCTAACAAAGAAAATCCTAATCACCTCAATCCATTACACCCAATAACGACAACTTTCTCACGGTCATGATTTGCAAAACAACTATTAAAGTGCCATAATAGTATATGATAGCATGAAACATATGACAGTATGAAAATCTGAAAAGAATATCATGCTATCAAGCAACAACATCACTTCAAAAATCTCTCACTTTTTGTCATGAATTGTCAAAGGAAACTCAATTAACAAAAGTAAAGACAAAAACCACACAAGCAAGGACAATATAATTTAATAACCAATAGCATGCAATAAATAAGCAGCACATAGCAATATGCAATTCAACAAATATCTAACTACCTCTCAAAAAAATCAATGAAATTCCATGCTTAACAAACTCCCTATCAACAAATAACCTCCTTATCAAAGAAGAACAAGCTCTAGAAAACAAAGAATAAAATAAAATAAAAAATGATAAAAGCTATATGGTAGAGCAAATAAGGAATTTCAGATCAGTATATCAATAACACACAAGAATATCCAAGAAATACAATTACTTGAAAACACAATGTGCACCATCTCTAGAAGATTCCTCATGAAACTCTCATATCCTCACAGATACAAAAAACGAAAGCAATTACAATTGAATGGTATTTTTATCCAACGGGATTGTCAATTGCAAAAATCTAACAATCTCTTCCTTTGGCTATTCCGTGACAAAACATATCTAACAAAGAAAATCCTAATCACCTCAATCCATTACACCCAATAACGACAACTTTCTCACGGTCATGATTTGCAAAACAACTATTAAAGTGCCATAATAGTATATGATAGCATGAAACATATGACAGTATGAAAATCTGAAAAGAATATCATGCTATCAAGCAACAACATCACTTCAAAAATCTCTCACTTTTTGTCATGAATTGTCAAAGGAAACTCAATTAACAAAAGTAAAGACAAAAACCACACAAGCAAGGACAATATAATTTAATAACCAATATCATGCAATAAATAAGCAGCACATAGCAATATGCAATTCAACAAATATCTAACTACCTCTCAAAAAAGTCAATGAAATTCTATGCTTAACAAACTCCCTATCAACAAATAACCTCCTTATC